GATCTATTTCTTCAAAATCAACGGGTTGCAACGCGCGTATTCTCGCTCATCGTTTAAAACTGTGATACCCAGCCAACGAAGTTCGGCAGCGAATTGAGAATTTTTAAAAAATTTACTGGGGCGCGTTTTCTGACCCCCTCGCTTGAACCCAAGTGCAGATACCTTTTTTCTCATTTTGAGGTTTTTAAAGAATTTCAGAAATTCGATTTTTTCAAAATTTCTCAATTTTTAGAAAATCTGAATTTGAAATTCTCGAAAACTCGAAATTATGAAAAATCCGGACAGACAGACAGACCGATTTGTCAAATTTTATCGATTTTCAGAATTCCGCGATTTTTGAAAGAAAAAAATGTTTCGAAGAAATTCTGAAATTTAAAAAAAGGAGCAATTTTTGAATTTACTGAGGCTTAGAAAATTTTGTAGCTTGTAGTCTAAGCCTCAGGAAAATTTTAAAGCGCACTAACTCGACTATTTCTAAACGGTTTTCGATCGTTATTTTTTGAAAATTCGTAAAATTTTCTGCTTTTTATTTGATCCAGACTACAAACTACAATGTTTTCTAAGCCTCAGTAAAACTTGAAAACCGCTGTAACTCAGCTGATTTTAGGCCGTTTTCAACGGTTTTTGTCTAGAAGTGGCCAGAATTTTGAGGATCTTTTTTTGGTGAAAAAATTGAAAAAATTAAAAACTACAAATCGCTCGAAATCAATAAAATTCGTAAATTCAAAAAACCCGCCAAATCCAAAATCGACCCAAACTCATCAAGCAATTGAAAAAGTTAAAATCTCCAAAAATTTCGAAAAAATGATATGTTTTGTTTACTGAGGCTTAGAATTTTTGTAGTTTGTAGTGTAAGCCTCAGTAAAATTTCAAAACGCTGTAACTCGGTCATTTCTCAACCGTTTTCAGCGGTTTTTGACTTAAAATACACAGGATTTCTTGTGAAATATGAGACTACAAACTACAAACTACGAACTACAAGATTTTCAGATTGGCCTAATCTTCGAATTCACCTTCTTCGAGTGCTTCGCATTTGCCGCAATGATATCGGCTGTGGATCCGGTTGCCACGTTGGCAATATTTCAGGCAGTAAAAGTAGAATCACTACTGTATATGCTAGTATTCGGAGAATCGATGCTCAACGACGCCGTATCGATTGTTCTGGCGGCGACAGCGCTTCGCCACGCGAAACCGTCGTTCAACAAGCTTCCAGCATCGGAAATTATCACTAGCGCTTTTGTCACTTTCACTGAAATGTTCTTCTTTTCGGCATGTCTCGGAATTGGTATCGGATTGTTGAGTGCATTGGTAGGTTCACCGTCTGGGTGACTTTTTTAGTGGAAAAATAGGCGAAAATGGCGGAAAAATCGATAATTTATCGATTTTAATTGGACAAAAAGAGACAAAATTGGGCAAAAATGAAGCAAAATGTGTGGAAAAGCATATAGATCCACATAAAAACGAAGAAAATATTCAACATTTGCAAAAAATTTGAAAAACCGCCAAAATTCCGAAAATAGATTGTGCGATTTTTCGAGAGAAAAAATTGATTTTTTATTCGATTTTCTCCAAAATTTTTAGACCTTTTTAGGTTTTTCAGCTACTTTTGAATATTCTTTTTCGATTTTTCCACATTTTTTGTCTGAAATTTGACGGAACGGTGTTTTGGATTACTGTAGATTACTGTAGAAAATCTTGTAGTTTGTAGTCTTCGTTTTTGCAAACAAAAACACGCCAAAATGCATACAAAAATTTGAAAAAAAAAACTACAAAAGGTAATTAGTTCTCTACAGTAATCCAAAACACCATCCCATCAAATTTCAGACAGAAAATTCGGAAAAATCGACAAAGAATGTTCAAAAATAGCTGAAAGACTCAAAAAGGCTGAAAATTTTGCAAAAAATCAAGAAAAATCTTTTTTTTTTTTGAATTTTGAAATTTCGAAATTTTCAAAATTTTTGAATTTTTCGGAAAATTTGGAATTTTCAGAATTTCAGAAGTTTGGATTTTATTAATTTTTTGGAATTTCTTTTTTCGAAATTTTGGAATTTTTCAGAATTTTCTATTTTTTTAATTTTAAAGGAAATTTTGAAATTTTTAATTTTTTGAATTATCAGAATTTTGAATTTTTGACAAATTTTGTTTTTTTTCTCAATCTCAACTAAAAAGGGGCGGCGCTTAGTGGGATAAGCAATCAAAATTGAATTCTCGGCAAATATTTAGATTTTTAAAAATTTTGATTCTTCGAAGAAATAGGTTCAAAAAATCAATATTTGGATTTTTTCAAAAATTCGGTTTTTAATTTTAATAAAAATTTGAATTCTCGCCAACATTTTTGAATTTGAAAATTTTGATATTCTCGAAGAAATAGGTTGGAAAACAGAAAAGTTTGGATTTGTTCGAAAATTTTTCTTTTTCATTATTTTGTATTTTTCGCAAAATTTTGAATTTTGCAGCTCTTCAAACACGTGGATCTTCGAAAGACACCGTCGCTGGAGTTCGCCCTTCTCCTAATCTTCTCCTATATCCCGTATGGATTCGCAGAGGCTCTAGATCTTTCTGGAATCATGGCAATTCTATTCTGTGGTATCTCTATGTCCCAATACACTCGACACAACGTCAGTCCGATAGCTCAAATCACATTTCGACACACATTCCGGACCATTTCATTCGTCGCCGAGACCTCCACTTTTGCCTATATTGGAATGGCATTTTTCACGATAAAATTGAATTTCGCGCCTTGGTTAATATTCTGGAGTGTCTTGTTATGTCTATTGGGGCGGGCTTGCAATGTATTCCCACTTGCCTATCTGGTCAATCAGTGTCGAAAAGATGTGCAGATTTCGATGAAGAATCAGATTATCATGTGGTTTAGGTGAGCTTTTTTCAAAATTTTATTGACTTTTGCCAAATTATTTTGAGAATTTCCAGCCAAAAAGCGCTGAAAACGGATGAAAATTAGGCGAGATACAGCGCTTTGAAGTTTTACTGAGGCTTAGGGAATTCTTGTAGTTTGTAGTTTGGATAATAAATAGCGGAAATTTTGCCGAAATTCCAGACAGAAACGATCGAAAACCGTTCAGAAATAATCGAGTTAGGGCATTTTGGAGTTTTACGGGCTTAGCGACTACATACTACAAAATGTTTTCTAAGCCTCAGTAAAAAAAAATATCAGTTTTTCGAAATTTTTGGATACTTTAAAGGCTTTTTCAATTGTTTTATGAAATTTGGTCGATTTTTGCGCCTTTTTTGAATTTTCGAATTTCATTGATTTTGAGAGATTTGTAGTTTTTAGTTTCTTTTAAATTTTCCTTAAATGATCTCCTCAAAATTCTGAGCATTTCTAGCCAAAAACCGATAGGAACGGCTGACAATGAGCCGAGTTACAGCGTTTTAAAGTTTTTACTGAGGCTTAGGATTCTCTGTAGTTTGTAGTCTAAGCCTCAGTAAAATTTCAAAACGTTGTAACTCAGCTCATTTTTCCAAGATTTCTTTATTGAAATATCTCAAATTGTTCGAATTTTTGTTTTATGACTTTCATTTTATTTTAAACTACAAACTACAAAGTTTTTCCTAAGCCTCAGTAAAAATTTCGAAATGCTTTAATGTGATTAAAAATCGATAAATTTCAATAAAGTTTGAACACTAAAATAATAATTTGTAACTAAACTTCAAAATTTACAAGCTGCTACAAACTACAAAAGGCTCTCTAAGCCTCAGTAAAAATTTGAAAAAAAAAAGAAATTTTTGCAGTGGAATGCGCGGTGCGGTCTGTTTCGCACTGGTTCTCTACATGGACCTGGATAAGGAGAAAAAATCGATACTCCTGACTACCGTACTCTTTTTGATACTGTTCACAACGATATTCCTGGGCGGTTCGGCGCTTCCGTTTATCTCATTTATCAATCGATGTTATCCGAATGAAAGACAACGCAAAAGGAGGAGAACGCAGAGAAGCAAAGAGGCGAATTCGAAGAATTCGTCGGCGTTGATGATGAGTAAAACTCAGGAAATGGTGTGTTTCTTTTTTTTTGAATTTTTTGTAGTTTGTAGCCTGGATTTTTCTACACATTTTCGTTTTTGTTTCATTTAATTTGGTCCATTTTGAACTGAGATACGATGAAAAGAAGATTTACTGAGGTTTAGACTACAAACTACAAAAAGTGATAAGCCTCAGTAAAAATTAAAAATCGTTGTAACTCGGCTCATTTTCAACGGTTTTCAACGACTTTTGGTTCAAAATTTGTCAAATGATTTAGACTACAAACTACATATTCTAGGGAAGAATTTTCAGAAAAAATTGAGCTCGAAAACCTCTAAAATGAGATTTTACTGAAGGCTTAGAAAGTTTTGTAGTTTGTAGTCTATGAACCTCAGTAAAATTTCGTGGCGACTAAAAGCTATGAAAACGTTTCAATTTTTGAATTCGAGCCATTTTGAGCTGAGATACAATGAAAACAAGGTTTAAGAGGCTTAGACTACAAACTACAATACGTTCTAAGCCTCAGTAAAAAATATAAAATCACTGTAATTTCGCTCATTTTCAACAGTCTTCAATGATTTTAGGCTTAAAGTTTTTCAAATTTCCTAGACTAAAAACTACAAAAAGTGATGAGCCTCAGGGAAAAAAATTCGTAACAAACTTATTTTCATGTCAAAAATCGAGAGGTTTCCAAATTTTTGTAGTTTGTAGTCTTTAATCGGAAATTTCGAAATTTTGACGAATTTTGAGCCAAAAATCATTGAAAATGGATAAAAACTAGCCGAGTTACAGCGTTTTGAAATTTTAATGAGGTTTCGACTACAAACTACAAAATTTTTAAGCCTCAGTAAAAATTATAAAACCCCGTAACTCGGCTTTTTTCAACGGTTTTCAATGATTTTTGGCTCAAAATTTGTCAAATTTCCTAGACTACAAACTACAACAATATATGTTTGATTTGTAGTTTGTAGTCTAAGCCTCAGTAAAATATAAAATCCCCGTAACTCGACTCATTTTCAACCGTTTTTAATGAATTTTGACTCAAAATTCATAGAATTTCAATTTCAGTCCTTCTTCGGCGACGATGATTGGGGACCGAAGAAGTCGGCGTTGGATGCCACGTCATCAGCGGGTCGTCTGATGCGATCCCTATTTGTTCGAAAATTCACGGCGATCGAGCGACTAGAAAATCGAGACAAACTGGCGGCACTTACGAAACGAGCGCTGGCAAGTGATCAGATGACTGATAGTGATGACGTGGAATTCGGAGCGACGTCTTCTAGAAAAGACGAATTGACACGTGGCAGAAGTGCGTCGCGGAACAGCAGTGACGTCATTATCAGTGGAGGGGGCGGAGTCAGTGGAGAGCAACACTTGTTGATTAGTTCGGATAGTGATTCTAATGAATTGTGAAAAACAATTTTTTTTAATGTTCCCCCGTTACCATGTACAATTTCTTTCGCCTTTTCAAAAAAAATTTTTTGATCTACCCCCGATTTCTAAAAATCAATAATACCTGTGATATTCTAGTCATTTTTCACCCATTTTTTCGCTTTTTTCCCCTGTACAACAGCTCTTTTTTCCGATTTTGTTTTTCTTTTTTTTTTCAAAACCAGTGCATTTTTAGCAAATTGGCTCTATTGAGAATAAGAATTTCAGTTTTTGAAACGAAAAAAAAGCGTGAAAAAAATCGATTTTTTCGCTAGAAAATTCGGAAAATTTTGAAATTCTCAATAGAGCGAATTTGCATTTTATTAACTTAAACTTCATGCTTTTATCGATTAGTTTTAAAATACACTCAGCAATCACGGATAACACTCTTTCTCCTCTCACAGCAATTCCTCTCCGATTTTGTGATTTTTCTCCTTTTTTTTTGAAAATTTATTATTTTTTTTGAAATTAAGTTTTGGTGTCTTGTGTGCTTTTCCCAAAATTTGTGGGATAAATATGTGTTTTTTTGGCTGTTTTCCGATTTTAAACGGTTATGAGGATTATAGAGATTTTGAAGTTTCAGAAATTTTTTAAAAAACTTTAAAAATTTGAAAATTCCGAATTTTTGAAAAAAAAACATGCAAAAAATTGATAAGAATTGGAAATATAAAAAACTTAAAAATTTCTTAGATTATTAGGAAATTAAAAATTTTAATAAAATTAAAAATTTGAAGAATTCCAATATTAAACGCAGTACTGACATTTTTCCTAATTTTTGTGTTTTGTTGAGTTAACCAAACTAAATAATAGGTCTCTGGCTGCGAACACCACACATTTCACAACCTCCTGAATAGACGTTCGACAGATGGAGAAAATATAAATATAAACGGCGCACTCTTCAAAAGATAAACACTTTTGGTGACTATGGTTTTTTTCTTATTTCATTGGTTTATCATTGTCTTCGTGGCAGTTTTTAGGTTAGCTGGAATCATTCATCAAGATTAAACGAGGGGAAAAGTTTTGCAGTTATTATCTATGGCAATGGACATATTGGGTACGTCGAGGAGTTCCGGGACCACTGGGTTACCCAGTAATTGGGTCGTTTTTGAATAGTTTGGATCACAGTTTCCCAGGACCATTACAAGTTAAAGAGTGGACCAAAGTAAGTCTGTATTGGCTATTGAAAACGTTTCAGTATCAAAACAGATGTTTTTTAGAAATACGGAAGCACGTTTGGATTCACAGAAGGGCTAATGAAAACTT